GAGAGAGAGAGAGAGAGAGAGAGAGAGAGAGAGAGAGAGAGAGAGAGAGAGAGAGAAACAAAAACAAAAGGAACGATCGACCGTGCTGAAATACGCAGCGTCCTAGGCACACGCGAGCATTGGACGCCACGAGGAGCGTCCCCGATAAAATCAAGCAATTCACTCACCGAACTCCGAAAAGATTCCAGGCGTGGTAGCGTCATTCGTAAATCACCTCTCCTGTCCCTCGAGGCCGAGCGTGTCCCTCGCAGGCACAAACTCCTCGCAACGATGTGGCACTCGCGAAATATAATACACGGCCAGTGGTAGACGAAACACTAGGCGAAACGACGAAGGAACACTGTACGCGACAGATTCACTGATTGCGAGAAGTACGGTCGCACGAAGCGGCACGCGGATGTGACAGGGGTGAACATAACCTTACAACCGGTGTCGCGAAGCAACGTACGTACGTCGAAAGCGGAGCCGAGGATGAGAACGAGACGGACGACGGACGAACAACGAGAGAGGCACCAAGGCGACGAAACGACCGTGGAACGATCACCGAGTCCTCGCGAACGTCCCGACGAAACGACACGAAACGAAACGAAACGAAACGAAACGATTCACACCAGTGGAAAAACCGGACGCCGCTCTTCTTCCACTCTGTGTGAGTGTGTATACGTGTGTGTCGCAAGGAACACGGTTGCAACAAGGACACCGTACCACGAGGCTTCCCGACACAATATCCGCAATCCGCGGAAGGACTGTCGTCCGACCGCGTTCACCCGCGCCCCTCCATCGACCAACGACCGGGAGAGGGAAGCCAGGTAGGACCACTGGTAGGGAGAAACGACGAAGTGACGAGACTGCGCGGCAATGAGCAAAAAGGACAGGCGCGCGGCGCCATTCGATTCAGGATGGGAGAAAGTGAGAAGGACGTTAGAAGGCAGGAACGTACGTTGGAAAGGGCGAGAGGGTTCCTAGAAGGTAAGAAAGCAATTGATTTCACTTTTTCTTTATTTCCTTTGCCATTTTCGATGTCTTGCGATTGTTAAAAAGTTTCGAGTTTATTTATTTTCGAAAGACTTAATTAATCATTCAGTTTAGACAAAGTAGAATGTAAGAGGAACTTTACGCAGGATACTATAATTTCACGAAATATTGAATCGTGCTACTGAAGATTATTATTGTACTTAATGACTGTAATTGTAAAATTTCGTATCTCTCGAATCATTAATTTGTTCCATTTATTTCAGTAACAAGTCAATGACGTTATGGGATAGTTAAACTCGAATATTTATTAAAGTTTATGTATATGCAAACTTTTAACACTGTACGACATGACTGTACGTTCAAAATGTAACAATACGAAATCTAAAATAATTCGCAAAAACAGTTGTCGAGCATTGACATTGATAAAATGTTTGGAACAAGACACTTATGTTTTACATTTTTGTCTGTTTCGGGCGACTTTCATTAGAATAATTACTATCAAAGCTTAATATACGTACATACCTTCGATTCCTTCATCACAGTTTCCCATTCCACGGATTGCACAGGTGTACAGGTTATTATATTATCCACAATATTACAAAACTTCATTTCATATTCAATACACACAGTTCACCATACTTTCACACAGCATTTTCTTTTTAATAATAAAAACACATTCTAAGAGGGCGGAACATGTTGCACGTAATAAACTCTTTTCTTCGTCACACACGACTTCACTCCACGCTTCCAACGCCATAATGCAAAATAATTCAAATCTACAGGGCGGAAGTGCAGCCATCAATTAGCGCCAAAACAAAGAACAAGTGGTTGAATCCTATTGGCCACTGGTCCTTTGCTAATCAGAGAACCAATCAAATTTTTCTTTAACAACCAATCATATTCTTTTTTTTTTTTTAGTTAAATGAAAAATATTAAACGAAAATGAAAAATATTGAATTTAGTTAAATGAAAAATATTATCTTACCTCTTATTATTGTCCTCTAAAAATATACGGTACATAAAATTATTTATATATTCGAACGATCCCTTCTAGAAAGAAACAAGTGTTCGTTTACAACCAATGAAATCGTAAGAGCAACGTCATTCGATAGCATGTTAAAGTCATATGTGGAGTTTATGGCGGGTTGATTGCATGAAATTCCGGTAAATATTTCTTTCTTGGACGTTTAGTAGCGTCGCGCCTGTTCACGGTCAGGTTAACCTACCGGCAGTGTGTTTGGCGGCAAGGGGTTGGGCGGGACTTGGGGAGATCGACCACCGAGTCAAACGACCGGTCGAGTTTGCGCAGTGGACAAAGCGTAACCGCAGTGCAAACTTTTTCCATGTCGAAGGGGCAAGTGACGCGACTCGTAACTGCGGTAGGTAGGACTCTGAAAAGACCACGGTGAAATTCGACACGAAGAATCCCTAAAAGGTACGGTTCACTCATCCTATAATTCCTCCCTTACCAAATATTCCCAATACGCTTTACACGTACAGTCGTAAAGTTTACAATACCAAAGTTCAAATTCAACGGTTCTAGTAACAAAGTTCCAACTAGAAATTTAAATTAAAAGCACATTTCGAAACATAAAACATAACACATGTATCTCACTGTGCTAAAAATAATATAGAATATATTAACATTGATATATTACGCATACTGATATAATTCTGGTGAAATACAAACAACGTTGATCTAGTAACTTACTAAAGGAAATACGTTTTCAAAAAATATTCTTTTTCGTCAAGTACGATTGAGACTATTCTTAAAAAATAATTTATAATTAATAAAAATAAATCGATCAATCGTAATTTATAGATTATTAATAACCTTATTAATAATAATATTAATTTGATCACGCAAATAATGGAAGAGGGTAGCGGCGGTCAGTTAATACGGCACTACACTGCCTGCGAGATTCGATATCTCGGCGCTCGCGTCGCATCTTTCGATTATCGAACGGGTAGTTTCCCGAGTGACCGTTTCTCCCGCGTACCGGCGAACTCGAGCGTGACACGATTTGAATTTGATTTTTGATAAATGATATCTCAGATTGAAGTGTTTGATACGTTGCAAGTTGTAACAACAGGTATTGTGTGCAGGAACGATAATGCTCGCCGTGTCCATTGTGGTAGAATTCGTTTATACGTCGAGGCACGTCATCCACCATCCAACCGTTGAATGTCGAAAGTGTAACAAATCACTTCCGTTTGGTCTACAAGGCTGTTAACTGTCGTTGAAGCTTGAATCGAAAAAAGTTACGAGGTTTGTGATCATTTTATTAATTTGCACGTTACATAATTGCTAATTCACACGCTTGATCGATATCTTGCTCGTATTAACATTGATGGATGATTTTTTCTCAAGGATTTGACGTTGGAAATTTTATTATACATGGATCCTACAGCAACGTTGTTTATTTAAAATGATATCCTGACAATTTTAAAAACGCACAAATTTTGATAAATGTAAATTGTGTAGCTTCAATGCACACAATGCCGTACCTGATATATTGGCGGCCATTTTGTCAAAATTTTGTTTGTACGTTGCAAGATTTAAATTTACATGTTATAAAATTTGAATGTTAACGAAATTTTAAAATATTGACTGCTTTAAAAAAGAATTAGTTTTTAAAATAATTGAAGCAATTTTAACATGATGGTAATTAAAATGAAATGTTCAATTTAGAGAATAGTTCATAATTATTCTTTTTTAAATATACTCTTTAGAATTGTAAAGACAAAATTAAACTTAAATTATTGATATCATGATTATTTCTTTTAAATAGTTTCTAGACTTTCAATAAGAAGTCAAGCTTAAACTATTCATATCACTATTGTTTCTTTTAAATACCATTTTCTGTTCTGTTTGAATTTTCAAGTAGAACAGAAATGACGATCTTGGAAGGGAATTAATCTTGAGAAAAAATCATCTGCCGGAGCATTATCATGGAGTCCGTGATACCACAGCTTCCATCTCGTACTAGACATAAAACGGTTGATGCAAACAGATCACATGCTGAACCTTGGTCAAGAATTACAACCTCGTTGAGGTTCGTTTACCTTGGCTTGTGGTTATCTGCCAAGTGTTTCCAATGATCATTTTTCATACCAATATAGATCCGCAAACAGCATATTCGTTGCATAAATAATTTTCAGTTTAAATTAACTGGAAATAATTGAATAGACTTGACTATATTGTCTCAGTTTTGTTGAAAAGGGAATGAGCACAAATATGATTTGTAACTTGAAACGAAATTCAAGTAGATGCTTGTGTGCATGCTCGCGTATTTAAATGTGGAATTTAATAAAATTTTATTATGCAAAATGTAAGTCACAAGGGTTCACAAAATATAAGTCAGGGGCTCGCATCAAACAAAATGCATTTTAACAGAATTTTCAAGCGCGTGTTAAAAAGTTTCCATCAGATAATTTCACCCGTACAACTAATATGTACAACTAATGATCATATTCTTTTACCGCCATTAAAATTTTAACGTTCTATTTTTTTTTTTATTTTTTTATCGTGTCGTTTCATTCACTATATTTGCAATTGTTTCTAGATATTCACCTTTATAGATTCAAAAGCTGTGATGTACATATCTTTCATCTCACACTGGGGATATTTTATTAAAATTACAATCATTTTGGAAATTTCGTTTCGATTTACAGTCTCATTACAATATTGATCAAATTTTGAAACAATTTATACATTAATACATTGATAACACACATTTCATATATTTTATATATTGTACGAAACATTTTATGTATTATACATTGTTGACGCACACGTTTCATATGTTATACGTTAAAAAGTCTCCTGATAACCGTTCGGATACTTTCGTGGCCAATTGTACGCGCATTTTTATTGCGGAGAGACTTAACAATCTTCGTTATTAAGAAAAATAAAGTGAGAGATTAAAGGGCACAGAGAACAGAAAATAGAGACGTTGGATAAATTTGAAGAGGGGGGGGGGGGGAATTTTTCACTGGCGTATGAGGAAAATTGGAGCAGAGCCGCGTGATTTTCCGCATAATTGGGCCGGCGTGGCAGCGTATCGATACCGAATAGGTTCGTTACGCTTTCTAAGCGGGCCCGTTCTCGAATATTTTTTCCCTAGAAAATGCCAGATCGCCTCGACAATGGGCAATTACACGCGCTCATAAGCCTTCCCGATTACGGACGTTCGAACACGTCCCACTCGCATTTCCCTTTGTCCCTGTTTTTTCCATTTAACTTTTTTACGTACGAACGCACGGCCAATTAGATCAAGACTCGTCATTAATTTTGCTCACGTTCGCCCCCTCGGAAACGCAAAGCGAGTCACTTTCAGTGGTTCGAACTTTCTCAGGGCTGGTATTTTTGAACTTTCCGGTCAGACAGTATCGCTAGTCCTGCGAGTTATCATTCTAACAATTTTTATTAATCTACAATTTAATTTATATTGATCTACATTAATTTACCCATTGCACAGAGAATTTGAATCTCTGGTGATGTGCGATTTATTGTCTTGAGAATTTACATCAACATTTTTGTTAATTTATCGTTTAACCGAACAATTCGCATTTCATTATTTATTTAAATTTAATTTCACATTCTGTTCTCGAGTATATGATAGAATTGCAACAGAAGAAAAAAAAAAACCAATGCCTGTTTGGTTCTCGAATTTTTATATTACCTGAATTATTATTGCATAGCTCATTACTCGAAATTGCTATTGCGTTACTTTTGTAGTGTAAATTTTGTTTGTGGGAACAGATTTTGTTAACGTGTTGTTTGTTTTACAAACATTAAAAATTACTCGAAATTGCTGCTGTGTTACTTTTACACGTAGTGTGCTGTTTGTGGAAACAGATTTTGTTAACGTGTTGCTTGTTTTCACAAAAATATTCCAACTGCCAAAGTGCTGTTTTGAGCGTGTAAATTTCGAAATGAAAGTTTGAGAGTTAAGAGAGGGGGCGGTGGAGAGTATCAGTGTTTGTGTACGACATGGTTGTCTATCGTTTCCATGACGGAACGGCAAATTGACACAGTGGGTAACGGAATTACGGGATCGTGCATGCATTAAGATGACACAATCAAGACTGATAACGTTAGGCAAACGGGGGATATTAATGGAAGACGCAAACGTTTCCTCGTAACTCGCAAACAAAACACGGCCCGCTTTTATCTATCTTTATGGCCACTATAACTCTCCTCCGAATTACCTTGGTACATTCATATTATAAATCAATGTCTAACAATCTAAATTTAAACCGGCTCGTCCCTCTGTATAAAAGTCCAATAATTTACGCGCGCCAATTTAAAAAAAACTCTCCACTTACACGCGCGTACGTGACGAACAGTTTAATTATTCGACAATTAATAACGGCCGCGTTAATTATTGATGAAAAGTCGAAGTGAATTGTTGCACGCGTATTTCTGGAGAGATCATGAAATACGAAGGATTATGACAACAAAATGAATCGCAAAATGCGTCAGCGCATCATAGCTTTGCGATAATAATTTCAAACAGAGCTGTCTGAACATTCTCGTCTGAATAAACAGCAAAATATTGGCTCTCCTTTGAAATTCCAGTGAAAAGGACGCGGATCTCTCATTCTTCCACGCGATTTCAAGATCGCAGTGTTTTATTCAATTCATCATTTTCGAAGCACGTTACTCGAACAATATCCAAATCTGTATGAAACGAGGGTGGAAAGGGGGAGGAGGGGGGGGGGGCGTGCATTAAGGAACAGATTGAAAATTGAATTATTGAGTCGACGCTTGCCATGTAAATCATACGAAAACGTTACCTCGACCTGTTCGCCAACAGCCTGACGTAGCTTTCTCATTTTCTTCCGGTGAAGCACACATTTGTTTCCTTTTCTTCGTCTGATTTTCTGACCCTGTTCTCTAACGGGGCTATTGCGCCCACGAGAACCGTTATTCTATGCTAATTGAATATCATAAACGACGACTGTTTGCGAATGAAGGTCCGTTAAAATTCCCTCAAGAGTGAACGGTCGATCAATTGATTTTAGTTTTCTGCACGAATTAATTAGGAATGATAACGACGAATGTTTGCAAATGAAAATTTGGAAATTCTCTCGGACGAAAGGCGGTTCGAAGTTGCGGCGAGTTATAAATTACGGTGGTTAGGATTGATTACCCGTCAGAACTAATAATTTTGATTTTCTAGAGAAATTAATTAGAAACGAGATGGATTGTTTTTAACGAGGTTCTTGCTCTCCCAATTTTTTTTTACGTTCACGATTCATCAAATTATTGTTAAATTAAGAATTAACTTTATTATATATTGAAACTCTATTGAATCAACGATACTTCTGAATCATATGGATTTTTGTTAAATATCTGATTGGTATAATCAGAATGGATTTAGATTCACGGACGCACTACTTCTAATGAAATATGACTTTTAATTAGAGACGACGTCGATTATTAAATTCGTGACCTTTTCATATTTTAGTTAAGATTTAAGGATTCATTTCCATTCATCTTCCTTGAACTTCAGTTGATAGTTTATCGTCTCCTGTTTTTTAATAATTCATTGTTGTTGAGTGTCAATTTCATTTTCGCTCGGTACTATAGAATTAAAATTCATTGTTGCTCGATTTTTTTAAATAAACACTTCTCTTTAATAATAATCGGTTTTATAAAAAAATTAATTGGCAACTGATTGGCTATCGCGTTTCAAATTGTAACTCGTGATTTTTCAAGCTTGTTTTAATATTGCCGGCTTTTTTGTCGAGTATTCATCAGCACCGACGAATCGATTCTGTCGAACCTGTTTCAAATACAACGTGCTTTGTGTGCGTTTCTTTTTTGTTTTTTAAATGGAGCTCGGAGCTCGTAATGAGAAACACAGAGTGAAATTCATTTTTCCCGCTCGATCGTCGGATAACTATCTCTGGAAATAACTTCTCGCGCCATGTTCTCGAAGTTTATGCCCCGGATCTCGGAATATATTATAATTAGTTTATTACATTACCAAGATTCAATTACATAAGTTAGACTTTTTATTTATTTCCGTTTACTTGCCCGACGCCTGAAGATAGACTACTATATAATGCATCGTTGCAACACGGTTTTTAACTCTGTGATTCTTCTTCTATCTTTGTCAGAAATTTGTTGGAAGCTCCTGTGCTTCAAATTTTCTCGGTAATTCATTTTTAATAATTCGGCAACCTTTCAATTTTCATACTTCCGTTTCAAAGTTTGCTAGAAATTTTTACATTTTCACTCTAAAATATAAAATACCTTGGTAAATTCTTTTTTCAATAATCTGTCTCTTTGTCATTTTGGTTTAATTTTTATCCTCCCGTTTCAATATTTTTCCTAGAAATTTTTATACTGTTATTCTAAAACACCCCGGGAATCTTTTTTTTTTTCAGTAATCTAAAAATTCTTTCATTTCCGTACTTCCATTTCGAAATTGCCCTGGAGACTTCTATATTTTCAGTCCGAAATTTCCCTGTTCCCTGTTTTTATTAAAAAGTTTCCTAAAAAGTGAGCAAACGGCGAATTCTTCTCGATGAAAAGTTAAAATAAGAGAGGGGGGGTTCAGCAGTCGAACAAACGTGGAAACGTTAATTTCCATTCGATTATATTTTTCCATCGTCGACGGGTAAACACATCTATAAAAAAATATAACAATTATGTACAACGAATCGTTGAATCGCAACAGGCAACGCAGCGCCCAGTGCCGCAGAAACGTATTAACAGAGTATTCAGAAGGAAAGGAATAAAATCAACGAAACGCGTGGTTCCCAGCACTGATTGTTTATCCAACAGCCACCATGTTGAATCGTTCAAACACAAAATGGCCGAGATTCACATAACCTGTAAAATGTTTTCTTCAATAAAATGACAATGATGTCGTGAATGATGTCGTCTGTGAGCAACGATGCTGATGCTTCACTGGCGACGATTTCTCTGAAATATACAGTCTTGCGATTTCGTTGATCGTTCGAGCGCTATACGGTCGAGAAAAGCTGAGGTACAGAAGATGCAAGATGGCGGCGCACGATTCATTCGATCGGTACACATCCTTCATTTAATATCTCGTGGTTTCTTGAAGATATTTCCGATCGACTTGTACCCTGGACGTTTCCGATTTTGCCCTCTTCGACCTCGCATCATGACTAAAATACAAAACAAAAAAAAGAGAGGAAGAACATCAGTTTCGGGATCGTCGATAACACAGACTGTTGGTCTTACCGATTCAGCGACGAAGAGTCAATAATTCTTTGATTACTCGCGACAGTTTATTTGACAATGGAGTAGGAGGAACGATTAAGATGGATAAGATTTTATTTCGGGCGCTTTGAATATTTGAACGTGAGATTAGGTTAGGTATACATATGTATTTGGATTTCTAAAGCTGACTGAAGATAATGTAAATCTCTGACACGTAGTTTAAACAACATTTTAATGAAATGCTCCTCTGTTTAGATACTGATTAGGATGAAACGCCAATTTATATAAAATAAATGTCTCCCTAGAACATCATGGTACAATTATTTTAGAAAATTAAATTAAAAATTAACACGTGTAATCGATTAATTTTCAAAGTTAATTTTAGAACGAAACGTTTTATGAGAAAAACATTCTGGTTTACGCTTCGAGCCTGAAAAGAGCCTATCGACTTATCCTGTGTCTTTGTACGAAGATTTTTGCACAATAAATATCGAAACAATTTCGCGAGCGAGCTGCAAGCACATACACGGATCGCAACGATAACAAATGTCGGGAGTATTTGCATCCCTGTCCCAGAACCCACGTGGGATCCTCCAGGAAAGTGACTTAAACCTGATTCAGAATATTCTTCTAACAACGCGGCGTGGATAAGAAGTTAAACGATATGTCGTGGCGAGAACGGCTTTCCCCCTGATCCACGGTTAGGGTTCCCATCGACGGTAAACCAAGAACGTTAAATCCCACCGCGTCGTAAAACCAGTTTCACCAAACTTCCTCGCCAACGACGATTTATCGTCCGACCTTTACGGCCAGCCCTTGCCGGAGATAATCCGGCATAGCGAAAAATCTTGATGCACAGCGTGCATCGCGTTTACATGACAAAACCTTAGTCAACTAAACTTTTCCCGGCTTCGGCTTGGAATTTTTTCCTCCGTTCATCGCGATTCTTTGAGGAGTTGCAGAGATGCCGGAGAAAGAGAGAGATTTGAGAATTTTCGAGAGAGTGGAGAGACTGTGAAACTATTTTGACGTGTTCGAACTGTGAATCTATTCGTGAATTTGGGTGAACTTGGGGAAGAAAGTAAAAAAACGATGAAGGAAGAGGTGCACTTACTTTTGTATTATACTTGAAATATCGACGTGGATGAATTATATATGTCATGAAACGTCAAGAGGCGAATGAAGTTATTGCACAATTTAGTAATTTCTTGATTCCTTTTTTTTTTTTTTTTAATGAACAGGCGATGAATTTTGGAATTTCACGAATAATGTTAAAGAATTTGAGCAATAAAATTAGTAGTTATAATTCAGTTCAGATTTTTATAATAACTGGTCGCCTTTCATCAACTTCAGTCGAACAATATTTTCTCCCAACATAACAAACTGCAGAAAGTTAAAATGTAAATTTTTAATAACACGACACGGACTGCGATTAACAAACGAGAAAAAAGCAATGATAAAGATTGATCACTCTTTTTGACTTAAGTGCAGACGAAAATTTTGTTATCCTTTAATACGAGACGATCCGAGGAATTCTGCGGTGTACAAGCGTTGACGTAACAGCTTTGATCCAACTTGATTTCAGTCTACACAAAAATGCTTCTATCCTCTAATATTAGGGGATCCAAGAAATCCTCTGACAGGTCTACGACGACTTAGAAAGAGAATTTTCAGTGAAGCTTCAGCCAAGATGAAAGGAAGATTCTACAATACGAGATGAATTTAATATATCAAGTTCACGAAGAATTAAAAGATGGAATTTTCTAGATAGTCGAGTATTTAAATATATTTAAAAAATAAACGCAGAAGAATTTAAGGAAAAGGAATATTAAAAGATAATCAGGGAAATATGAGTGATCTGCTGGAAATATTAAATTCTCTGATCACATAGAAATATCAAATATGTGAATGATGAATTCAATGTGTCAAATTTGCAAAGAAAATTGATAGATGAAATGAACAAGAAACAGACATTGAAAAACAAATGCAAGATGAATCTAAGATATGAAATTTCCAATAAAGTTTAAATTCAGATCAAGAAATAAATGTTAAAATATATCTTTATGTCATAAAGATATAATGCCTACAGTAGATTAAATAACACCAAAACGCACTGATTACTAAGAAAATTCTAAAATGTACTAAACACTAAAAATACTCGACTATACAAAGTACTAATAAAATTCTAAAATATACTATACTGGCTACAAATACTGGAGACACTGAAACATACTAAATGTATTAAATGTTAAAATACTAGATTACACTAAATGCTAACAAAACTGTACTACTATACTACTGGAGACACTAAATACTCGAGAGAACACTAAATACAGTAAAATATACTAAATGCTAAAATACTAGAATGCTAAAAAACTAGAAACCAAATGCTGAAATATACTAAATGTATTAAATATTAAAATACTAGACTACACTAAATGCTAACAAAACTGTACTACTATACTACTGGAAATACTAAATACTGGAGACAGTAAAATATACTAAATGCTAAAATACTAGAATGCTAAAAAAACTAGAAACCAAATACTGAAATATACCAAATGTATTAAATGTTAAAATACTAGACTACAATAAATGCTAACAAAACTGTACTACTATACTGCTGGAAACACTAAATACTGGAGACAGTAAAATATACTAAATGCTAAAATACTAGAATGCTGAAAAAACTAGAAACCAAATGCTGAAATATACCAAATGTATTAAATGTTAAAATACTAGATTACAATAAATGCTAACAAAACTGTACTACTATACTACTGGAAACACTAAATACTGAAGACATTAAGACATACTAAATGCTAAAATACTAGAATGCTAAAAAACTTAGAAACCAAATGCTGAAATATACTAAATGTATTAAATGTTAAAATACTAGATTACACTAAATGCTAACAAAACTGTACTACTATACTACTGGAAACACTAAATACTGGAGACAGTAAAATATACTAAATGCCAAAATACTAGAATGCTGAAAAAACTAGAAACCAAATGCTGAAATATACCAAATGTATTAAATGTTAAAATAGTAGACTACACTAAATGCTAACAAAACTGTACTACTATACTACTGGAAATACTAAATACTGGAGACAGTAAAATATACTAAATGCTAAAATACTAGAATGCTAAAAAGCTAGAAATCAAATGCTGAAATATACTAAATGTATTAAATGTTAAAATACTAGACTACCCTAAATGCTAACAAAACTGTACTACTATATTACTGGAAATACTAAATACTGGAGACAGTAAGATATACTAAATGCCAAAATACTAGAATGCTAAAAAAACTAGAAACCAAATGCTGAAATGTAACGAGATACAAAGAGGCATACCTCCGCCTTCTGGGTGGCGACGCTGTTCAAAGCGACAGCCTCGGCAACCGGCTCTTCCTCCGTACTCTCTCTCACGCCGAAGATGGTCTTGTACATGTACGACGATAAAAGGGCGCCACCGATCGGCCCGAACCAGTAGATCCAGTGATGGGACCACTGATTGTTCCACAGTGCCGGTGCCAACGACCTGGCCGGGTTCATACTGCAACCTGTGTAAGGTCCGAACGCGAGTGCAAGAGCAGCCACAGTTAGGCCGAATCTGATTGGCACCGAGTCCGTGTTCCTCGTGTTTCTATTGTCCCAGACGGCGCACGCGACCAGCATCAGTATTGCGGTGGCAATACCCTCGAGTACCAGGCCCTGGATCGCGGATAGCTCCGAGTGTAGATCGGTCACGCAAAACATGTCAGATTCGTCCGCAGTCTTGCTCGTCAGACGACCTCCTGGAGTTACCAGCTGCAACAGTTAGCGTTTCGGTTTGATCAGCTTTTATTAGAAGGAGAAGATTAATATTAGATATGTGAGAGAAGATGAGTTGGTTAGAATTTGTATGGCTGATCATTTGATTCTAGAATTTTAGTAGTGTGGCTGTCATTGGACCATTAAGGTTTTGGTATTATGGCTTGATTCTTGAGCTTTTATTAAATTATTTAATTATTTTACAAGAGATTAGGATTGGTGTGATGAATTGTCTGGTTTTAAGATTTTAATAATATGTCCATCATTAAGGACAAATCCCCTGTTGGGATTTTGGTTTGATATTAGGTTTGGTGTTTGAGTTTTTATTAGAAGGACAGATTAATATATTAATTAGATTTGTGAAAGAAGATTGGCACGATGGATAATCTAGTATGTTAACTTTCAAGTGATATCATTAGTCCATTAGAAGCTACAATTATAAATTCTGTTTTGGTAGTTTTAATTTAATCGAAGTACCTAATTATTAATTTTTATCATATGAAAACTATGACATAGAAAATATTCTAAACATTAAAAATCACGCATAAATAATTACAGTGAATTATTATAAATTATTAATTAGGATTGGTATGATGAATTTTCTAGTTTTAGGATTTTGATAGGGTGTAAAGTTCCAAATGATATTAGCAGGATCTAAAACTAAAAAAGTTGTAACTACAATTTAAGTTTAAATGATTTAATATTGGTAGATCTAATTTAATTTAATTTCATCGCTAGATAACGATGAAATAAGAAATAAAATTAAATTGACATGATTCTAGCGTTTTATTAATGTGTTAATCTTCAAATGAAAAATCTATCAAAATTGTCACGTCAAGTTCCAAAATTTCAAAATTCAATTCAGATTTTCTGCTGCATGAATTGTTATTTAATTAATCTGAGATTTCCAAATCTCGCCAAGTGTAAATCATTTGATTTTATCAATGCGAATGAACAAGTTAAAACACATATACATACGTATTTGATCGAATAATCTAGCTGAGAATTAATTGAAGATCGATGCGATGATTAGATCGGAATGCGAACAATTGAATCTACAAAATGATTAATTGCGAATGAATAGAATAAATTACAGCGGATGTTTCGACGATTTGGGTGAAGTTCAATTGAGAATTAATGGAACAAACTGTCTAATCTTATAACTAGAACGATTTATCTAAGGGATCAAAGTGACGGATCACTCAGCAGTAGTTTTATTGCTTCGAGGATTGATGCAATGAAACGTCTGGTGACTTAATTGAAGTTTATGTCTCGATACAGATTGATTCATTTCTCTCTCTCTTTCTCTCTCTCTCTCTCTCTGACTATTAATTAGTCAACTTGGCAAGACGAATCAATCTATATCATCAAATTACAAATTTTTCTACATTTCACTGTATTTTCTATATTTTACTACTGACAATTTGTTGCATTTTCTAATTAATTTATCTTCATTTATCCACCCTATGCACGATGTAAAAACGTTTTACGAAGTAAACTGAGCGATGCATTTTGAAAGTAGAGGCTTCGAGCTTTAGAATGGCTCCAGGTTTATTATTTTCGCAAAATAATAGTAACAGTTTCAACATTTATTAATCTCCAGTAACACGAATTACTCGCACTTTTTCGAAACTGCCTCACTTTCTTCGAACACGACATTGTACTTTCGTTAACGGGACATCAGTTCGATCTAATCGAGTCGAAGCTCTGTTCGAAAACAAACACCCGCGATAAGAAATGTTTGCAAACGTTCTCTCTTATCCAGGCTGTATACCTTCGTCTGTTTCATTATTCTCCGTAATTTGTTCAACGATAAACTGAATTAGAATATCAGACAGATTTATGTGAGAATTTTTAATCGGCGTACGACAGCATGCGACAGGCAGAAGAAAATTTCAAGAAACGTATAACAGAGAACCTCGACTTCTAATTAACAAATTAGCGGATTTTGACGAGGTTTGATATTTTGGCGAATAAAATTAAGCAAAAGCCATTTTTAGCTAGGAAATTTTACAACGAGAACTGAATGTCTTCGATGATATTTTATATATTTTTGCACGCGTGTATGTGTGCGCATTTGTGCATCTCTAAATTTCTCGCAAATGCATGAAAATTCGAGAAATTAAATTTAAACAAAGATACGAACCTTCAGCATCCCGAAACCCAGAATTCCACCGACCGTTTGAGACAACAGATAAATAAATCCTTCGGGAATAGTCTTCAGTCCAAGCACCACCGATCCAACCGTGATGGCGGGGTTGACATGAGCAACACTAATGTGGCCGACGGACTGAAAATGAGGGAAAAATTTTAATTCCAAATTCGATCGAATATCTTGGAAAGTTTGAAGTCGAACGAGAACACCAGAAATCGGGAACTGATTTCTTCACGATAATGGAGATATTGTCTGCGGACCAAAGGTTAAAATTTCAATTCAAATGAAAATTATGGAATTTGAGTACATGAAAATACATGTTAAATATAAAAAACACAGAAACGATATACACGTAGACTTGAATGATGTGAGAATAAAAATTTCGTTATTCAGAAGTTGAATTAAATTTGTGAAAGAAATCAGTGGACACCAACTTGAATCACGATCATCACAGCGAGGCCAAAGGTCAGAGCAATTTGTAAATGCGAGGGAGCAACGCCCAGGCTCCCGACGCATCCCATACAGCCAATAAACACCAGCATCGAGGTTCCAATCACTTCCGCTAATGCTGTGATTACAGTGTTCTTCAGAGCACCATCTCCTTGTATCAGCTTCTTGAAACCTGTAACATGGAACACCCTGTAGATGGTCTTGTACATTTTCATTCGATTTTCTCTATTTTGTTGGTCAACAACAACGTCGATACCGTAGTCACTACTGAGATCTAGTTTAATTTCTATTTTAGTGGATACAGGAAGTTCCATTTTATTGTATATAATGCAGAACTACCAGTCTAACCTAGACAGAAATGGATTTAACTACAACAGTTGTTTGTTCATTTTATTATATAATGTAGAACCACCATTCTAACCTAGACAGAAATAGATTTAACTACAGCGTTGTTAAAGGCGAGACAATCATGAGAAGATATTCTGGCGCGAGGTGAAAATTACTATTTTAATAGATACAGCGGATTTCATTTTATTATGTAATGTAGAATTGCTTAATGTAGATGTGCAGTTGAATTAAACAGAGGTGCTGTTAGTTGTGAGAAAATATGGCATCTTGAAGTGAGAATTATTGTTTTAGTAGATGCAGGAAGTTTTGTTTTATTATGCAATCTAGATAGAGTTAGATTCAAAGCTCAATCTGTCGTGGATGATTTAATTGTGAGAGATACTCTGTTGCAAAGTGAAGTTGAATTTTCAACGTCAATGAAATGATTTAAATAGGAATGATAAAGAAAAATAGTCTAGAGAAACGATTCCCAGATTTAAGTGGCTACAGACAGTTTCAGTTTTCGCATCCAGACATGGAACAATATTTTTCTCAATAATTTTCGCTACAGTCTAAACTATTTTAAAATAATGAATAGAGCGTTCGAAATAATAAAGAACATTTAGAATAATTCCCAAACTAAAAATCACCGACTCAATTAGTTACAGGTAGTTTCAATTTTCTCATCCAGACATGGAACAATATTTTTCTCAATAATTTTCGCTACAGTCCAAACTATTTTAAGATAATGAATAGAGCGTTCGAAATAATAAAGAACATTTAGAATAATTCCCAAATTAAAAATCGCCGACTCAATTAATTACAGGCAGTTTCAATTTTCTCATCCAGACATGGAACAATATTTTTCTCAATAATTTTCGCTACAGTCCAAACTATTTTAAGATAATGAATAGAGCGTTCGAAATAATAAAGAACATTCAGAATAATTCTCAAACTAAAAATCACCGACTCAATTAGTTACAGGTAGTTTCAATTTTCTCATTCGGACATGGACCAATATTTTTCTCAATAATTTTCGCTACAGTCTAAACTATTTTAAGATAATGAATAGAACGTTCGAAATAATAAAGAACATTCAGAATAATTCCCAAACTAAAAATCACCGACTCAATTAGTTACAGGTAGTTTCAATTTTCTCATCCAGACATGGACCAATATTTTTCTCAATAATTTTCGCTACAGTCTAAACTATTTTAAGATAATGAATAGAGCGTTTGAAATAATAAAGAACATTCAGAATAATTCTCAAACTAAAAATCACCGACTCAATTAGTTACAGGTAGTTTCAATTCTCTTGTCCAAACATGGATCTACATCTTGTCAATAATTTTTATTATAAAATAACCCAAACTTCAGAACGCGTGTCACCCTGGCGGAACAATTCTCAAATTAAAATTCCTAAAATCCGATCGACTACGGTTTCAATTTTTCCCTTGCACGCCAAACACTTTGCCGCGAAATTTTCACAGAATTGCCGACGATAGAAGGGATTCATCTCTGTGGTAACGTTTCACCTCCCCCGTATGGAAATGTTTCTTTCCGTTTCACTCGTCAACAGGGGCAGCAGACATTTTCCACGACGTCGACGACGTTTATCATGTATAGAAGACACGCCAAACGACCGCTCGTAATGGTGTTCTCGAGATCTGAGTGTCGACAGGTGTCAACAGGGACAGAGACGTTTCCGTCGTGGCTGCCTGCTCTCCCGGCGAGTGAAACACACTGGTGATAAAGATGAAATATTAATAAATCTATTTTTCTTCCGTCTGCCCGCGTTGCAACATGTTCGAGGAGCCAAAAACCTATTGAATTATGAATTCCTTCGCTGTCCCCGGCATTCTCGGAAAACAGAACGAGAGCTTGGACATTCTGAAGGAAACTGCAACACATCTGTCAGATGACGTTGTTACAGGTTTCGTTCATTTCTTTTTGTTCGAATTTCTCCCTGGTGACGAAAACTCTTCTTCTCTTTAGGGAGGATTTTTTTCAAGTTCGAGTTACAGTTGTTTTATAACGAAGCGTCAATACTAAAATGTATGTGTAAAGGAAATATTACGTTGCATAAAAAAAGAAAAAAATTGTATTTCAAAATTTTTTTGAGTGGATTTCGTTTCACTCGATAATTATTTGAAATTTTGTCGAAAACGATAATTACTTGAAATTTTACCAAACAAATGTTATTTATTACGTATACTAATGCACAACGATAACGGCAAGATAAAGTGAAAAAAAGAACTGCGCAAAAAATCATCGAAAATAAGTACATATGATAATGAAAATCGACCATTAAATAATAATAAATAATAAAATAAATGAGTACCATTATGTAATAATAAAAATAAAAAGAATACCATTGTATGTTATTACCATCGATGGCCTTACCGCAATTCCAGACCATTGTATCGATACCTAGAACTCAGCGCGTGTACACTGAACCACTTGCACCGATGAAATAAATAGCCTGAACGACAACAAGCTGAACGTTTGTTCACGAAAGACAGCGTGCACGTTGATTCAGTCGACTGCTGATTAGCCACTACTATGTACGACGCAGCATGAAAATTGCTCAGCCGAGTGATAGCGTAAGTGTAAATACACCTACATCACGCAACCATTGCCATTCGAACGCAAATATTGCACCAGTTTGATCGGTATTTTTCTAACAGTTCGATAACTATTGCCAGAGATCCTCCTTAGTCGTTTATATCGGTGTCTTTTAATTTTTGTTGGTATTCAACGACTGATGACTTTTTAGGAATATGTAGGCCCAGGAATGTCGCCACGTATATCTGGTAACTGTTTTTTTTTTTTTTTTTGTTTCGCTATAGCGGTGTCCTCTCAATGCTATGGAAAGTTATGCGACTGTTAATCCAGAGCTAACACTCTTCTTAATAAAAATATATGTGTATTCTCACCGTTGACTGGATACACAAATTTTGAAGCATCTTGTAGATCGATTTTTACGAATTATTTTGTTATTTGTTAGGGAATGAGAAGGAAATTTTGAAATGCTCTTTTTTTTTAATCTAACATGAGAGGAGATGTTGATCTTGAGGAAATTGTGGAGGAAATTGGTTTTTGAAACGTCCTGTAAATTATATTTTTAGCGCAATATTTATAACGCATAAGTTCTTGCTCCGACGCAATACTTTTTTTGTAGTTGCAATTATTTGTAGAATAATGAATATTATTAGTATAATTTATGGTAATGTGGTAATATAATACTTTTACCATTCTCATTGCTATTTTTATTAGTACTATACTATCTTAATTAAGAGTTTTACTCTCTTATGATAATCCCCAAATCTGTTTATTCCACTTTCCATCCAATGGGACTTGCGTTTTTAAAACAACCTCCAAATTTTATCTAAATTTAGTAGTACTATCACTATTTCTTCTGCTCTCAGTAAATTTATTACTATCTTCAATTCAATTGTCTGTCGTTTTACTATTACATTGAGATTACATATCACTATTATTAAGATTACATACAATTACTATATACACTATATACATTGAGATTACACATCAATTATTATTACATATCACTATTACATTGAAATTATTACTATTGCATTCTAACAAGCAGCACTTCTTTCTGAAACATTTCAATTATTTCGCAACAAGTAAAGAAATCCATCATTAATCCAACCATTTTCCAATAAATTCTTTTGTCGTTTGCGAAGAAATCACAGAGCTTCATTTGTGCCTCATATCTGAATCGGAAGTATGGGCAACAAGATTTCCTTTATATAATTCCCGTGGTATCGATCGTGATAAGTTCATTTTTACGAGTCGAGAGAACGTAGAATGCCGGTGAACAATTAACTCGACGTCACTCGCTTTAAACGATGGATCGCAATGAGGATCGATCGTAAATCAGGACGATGTCAGTCACGTTGCCACGCGCGAGGTAGCCGCGCGCACGCATTTACGAGAGATAACGTCAGATGCAGGAGAGATTCAAAGTCGCGGAGCAAATCACTCAACAACGTTGGTCCTTCTGTTGTGCGAGTTTCGTAACTCGCGTTGGAAACTTCGCGATATCAAACGCTTCCGTTCTACAGGGCTGTTCACAAACGAATCCTTTGTAACAGGAAAGATTTGGAGGTTGGAAAATTTGTCATTCAGGATTTTAGATATTTGCCTCGACATTTTACGATTAAATTTCTCTATACAGTGTGAATTTTTTTAACGAAGGTTCTCGTTTTTGAGGTTAGGAAGTTTAATATATAGAGAGTCAATCGCTTGAATATAGAGTGTTTCAAAATTGGAACTTCCAATTAGAACAAACGAATCTTTTGTAACAGGAAAGATTCTACTTTGGACGTTAGGAAATTTGTCATTCAGGATTTTAGATATTTGTCTATAAAATGCCTCAACATTTTACGATTAAATTTCTCTACACAGTGTCAATTTTTTTAACGAAGGTTCTCGTTTTTGAGGTTAGGGAGTTTAACATACAGAGATTCAATCGCTTGAATATAGAGTGTTTCAAAATTGGAACTTCCAATTAGAACAAACGAATCCTTTGTAACAGGAAAGATTCTACTTTGGAGGTTAAAAAATTTGTCATTCAGGATTTTAGATATTTGCCTATAAAATGCCTCGACATTTTACGATTAAATTTCTCTACACAGTGGAGTTTTTAACGAAGGTTCTCGGTTTTGAGGTTAGGAAGTTTAATATACAGGGATTCAATTGCTCGAATATAGAGTGTTTCAAAATTGGAACTTCGAATTGGATTGTTTTTAGAAGGCAGCCAATTCTTTTTCTAAAACTTTTTCTCCCCTCTTAAACTATTACGCACTAACTAGTAACGCG